CGGAGACAAGCCAGCGAATAGAACTTTCCTTCTCTCTTTCAAGAGTACAGAAAGCCAGAAAAATCTTCAGAAATCTCAAACCATGGATGTACAACGTCGTGATTTCTGCTGTACAGCTGTGAAACCTACTACAACTAAAACTACAACTGTGGGCTCTAACCGGCACCCTAGAAGGCTGAATTGAGAGATTCGAAAGAAACGATAACAGGACCTATATGGGATCAGAACCTTAACACATGGAGGAGGAGGAACAATAAAGAACAACTAAAACAAACTGGTCCATCAATATCTCGTGATATGATGGCATGGAGGTTAAGTTGGGCGGGGCATATAGCTCGAAGCAATCCATCAGGACGCCTTTAAACAATAATGAATGCTAAAGTATTTTGCAAGAGACCACGTGGGAGGCCAAAAACCAGATGGATAGATAGGATAGACAAAGATACGGCTGAGCTTCATGCCGCAACCTGGAAAGCAGTAGCCCAAGATATACAGAGGTGAAGGCTGGTTCAGGCTCTGTATGTGTGTGTGTGTGTGTGTGTGTGTATGTATGTGTACTTCTTACTTAGGCATATAATGCTCAGAAACTTTTTTTATTTCGGTTTTCAAAAACAGATGGAGTTACGAAGTTTTTATTTCCTATCGTCGATATAAGAATTTAAACAGTCTTAATGAGTTGTTAGCTGTAAGATGTATGCTTTAGTTACGTTTAAAATGCACTTCTAAAATTTTGCAATAGCACAACATTGGTAAAAAATAATTTCTATTGTTTATATATTGGGTTGGCAAATAAGTTTTTTTCGGTTTATAGACATAAAAATTATTTTAATCTGTAATATATTGACCATTATACAACATAACTTTTCACCATCTTTCCACTAACTGCATAATGCCATGCTCATAGAATTTCTGGAGTTTATTGTTAAAATAGTGGTTTTTGATGTCCTTTTCCTTTTGGAATTATTTCCATTTATGGAGTTCTGCAGAAACCGGAACAAGATGTAGTTATTGGAGCTAGGTTTGGTGAATAGGGAGGGTGGGACAAAAGGTCTCATCCAAGACTGAATAATTTATTGCGAGTGACCTATTGGTGTGGGTCTCATTACGTGTGAGAAGCCTAACGTTGTCTTGGTGGAACACAACACCCTTCTGATCATTCATAACTATCAGGATGTTCTCCAAATTCGATGTTACTATATCCGTTGGAAAGTTGAATTATTGCCCTTCAAAGTCGTATGAATATATTTTTTTTATTTAATGCCTACATAACAAATAAATAAACAAAAACTCCTAATAGGTTTTTATTTTTTATCTCTAATTGTATTTCTTTTACGAAGGTCGTGTTGATGTCATTTTGTGTAGTTTATGTACCTCTAAATTCCTGCTAAATTTTTTGTAGATAGCTATAGTCGTATTGAAGTTATAACATTTCTTTTGAGATTTTCGAAAAAAGAATCAGGTAAGGGACCCAAAAATTAAGCCTGGAAACATAGCCGAGCATGGGAAAATGGTTTTCTATCCTTTTGTGATCCACATTTAGGACCATATCAATCTCTCGCACTGATTGGGTAGGATTTCGATCAACAATGGCCTTAACATTGCTTTTGTTTCAATTTCATGTGAGCGTCCAGTTCGTTGAGTGTCATTGATGTCAAGATTTCCTGAATGAAATTTGGTAAACCAATTTTGGCAGGTGCTTTCGGATAAGGCATCACCTCCATAAACTCTGCAAATTTTTCTATGAGCTTCTGCATCAAGCTTACCTTCTTTAAAATAATACAAAAAAATTGGCGATAATGAACGATATTTTCTTCCAAATTCACAGTGCAATGGCAAACACAATACGAAGCTAGTTTCAACAAGAGTTAACAGATATAGTTGTTGACATATTACAAACCGGATAAACAATCCACTATAACTAAATTATACAGTTTAGTTTCTAAACTTTAGTACTAGTGCAAAAAAAAAAATTGAATTTTTTCAAAGAAGTTTGTTTATAGCGAGGTATTCGTATTTGTCCGTTATTTTTAAAATAATCTTTTCCGTAATAAAGATTATTTTTATTGATCTAAATAAAATCCCTTTCACTAAAATGCTATAGGCAGTGAGTAGATAAGAAATGGGGGAGCTGGTGCATTTTGTTGAGCAGCCAATCAGAAGCTAGGATTTCAGTGACGTCATCATGGCGGGAAGTTTGAATTTGAATTTGAACAACGGCACGCTGCCTTTTCAGACTTCCAACCAGACTTAACCACCACATGGTCGGCCGTCCGGCCAGCCTTTACCACCACATGATCAGTCACGTGACCATTAGCCACGCCCCTTTTCGATCGTGCGACCTCCATATTTTCTCCCCACTCTTCCCTCGGAGGCTGAGTGTGCCCGGCCGTCATCTTGTTTCTGATAAGAGATTTTCTTCTTGTATGACGTCACGATACCCTTTTCGATCGTGCGAACTCCACATTTTCCTCCCTACTCCTCTATAACAGGCTGAGTGTACCCGGCTGCCATTTTGTTTTACTGCAATTTGAGAGACTTAGGGCGTTGTTCGCCATTCGGTTTTTCTATAACCTTCCTAATGTTCATCTTTTATATTATAACCTTCCTAATATTTATCTTTTGTATAAACTTCTTATTGTTTACATTTTAAGTGTCACGTGACCGTAGCTTATTTATTAATTATATAGAATTTTCAGTAATCCTTTTATGAAATCCTTATTTCATATTGATCGCCTTGTTCTTGTAATTATTAATACATATCGTCACAATGCCAACCTTTATCCACCTGTAAACAGGTTTGGTCACGTTGCGGACACGTCCAATCCTGTCTAGATTACATGTAAACAATGACCTTTAACCCTCTTACTCTTAATCCTCTTGACGTAAATGTACTTTGAGACTTTAATCCCTTATTGCTTATTAACACAGGTAAACAAACTATTTAATCCTTTCTTATCTAATTATAACTCAAGATGTGGCTCAAAAACCGTGTAAAATAGAGATACTCGAACTATGTTGGAAGTTGCCGTATGTAACGGTCAATGAGCAACAAATCTGGCTCTCATGCGACACCTCAGGACGTTCTCTATTTCTTTCCGTAGCTGGGAACTCTTTGACTATCCACTCTTGCCCACGAGAAAAGACAAATCTGGTCTGTTAAAACATCGAGTCAAATGGACAAACCTCGTTACATTATTTTAGCCTTTAGATAATTAAATATATATAGTATGAGATAATTAAAGGAATTAGATTTTATTTTCAAGCTTAGAACCATCAACCTCATTCGTATTGTCCTGTAAAATTGAGTGTAAATCGCTTGTCAAGTCACAAGAGAGTCGTAAGTTCTGCATTCCGTTAAAATGTGTTTCACTGTCAGAGGAGTACCACAAGTTTGACATGTTGGCGGAATTGCATTTTTAACTGAGCTAAAGCTAAAATATTCCAGCTAAAAAATCATAAATACTATTAAAATAACAAAAGTCTTATTTATTATATCACCGGTTGATTATGGATTGTGCGACTATTAGTTATTAAACTGTTATTTTCCATTGCAAAGTTTATTGAAAGGGAATTAAGAGATTTGCATCGCCTGTCTTAGACAGGACAAAAGTTATCACAATAATTGTAAGTAGATACTGTTAGAATATAACAAAGGGAAAATACATCCAATTATTCACTAATTTAAATTTCTAAAAGGTTGCATGATGATTTTTCGAAATGAACTTACGAAAGATACCTAATGAATTAAATATAATATCAGATCAAGCGTTATTAAACTACAGTAAATATATTCAAGGTTATAAACATATCTATGACATTTTTTATATTTCACTTCTTCTTTCGCACAAGTACAATGAAATAGTATCTTAAACAATGCCATTGCCTTGAATCCGTGGTTTTAAATACTTTTTCAATATTCCAAAAAAAGGTTACATTTAGTAAGAAAATTTCATTTAATTTCCTTGAAAACATGATATTATTTATATTTTTTTCGTCACTCTTTGTTATCTTCTACAATTTTCTATATCAGAGAATGTTTTTTCTCCACTTTCCAACTATATTATAAGTATACCTTCTGACTTGTATTTCCGGAGATTCATTTTCGACCTGGATAAGCATTTTTATTTTTTTCTCTTTTATCCAATTATTAAATTGAATTTATATATAGCATTTTTTTTGTAACTTTTAATAATGAGAGATAGTTGATTATTTCAAATAAACCATATTAAAGATACTTCAGAGGAAGATGCATATGAACATTGGGCATTTAAGCCCTGTAAAGTGACATCATCTGGGATAAGTCCTAAATGATATTTAAGACCACTTAATTATGCAATGATATATCGAGTTTAATCAAAATCGTTAGAGCCGTTTTTGAGAAAATTGTAAAAATGTGTTTCAGCGTTGATATAAAGATGCACTTCGGATTAGCTGATTTTAAGGATTGCTGCCAGATATAAGGCATACACTAATCTTAAATACGCAATATCAGTTTCATATGACTTTTGCTTGTTGAACTAGACTGTTCACATACACACAGACCATTTTTTGGGGCTTGGTTATTTGGACTGAGGGGATCTCAAAACGTGTATTTCCGTTGAAAATTCAGATTTAAAAATTTTCACGATCGCAATACTTACATTTACTATACATTACATATATAAATAAGTGAAAGTAAAAGATGTTAGTTTACTCCCGGACGTTCTCAAAAAGATTTGATCCACAGCTGGTAGACAACAATATATTTTTTTTAGAATAATAAATTTGATTAATTTAGAACATATATTTTTTGTAAGCTAAGATTTGTGCTCATCCCATTTTTAAATATTAGGAAAAATCTAAATCTCATTACCGAAAATGTTTACGTAGATAAGTATAATATTTAAGTATATTATAATGTTATTGGCATGACAATATATAGCTTTTTTGAATTACCTATGTCTACCAAAAATATTTAATTTTGTTAAATTTTCATTTTAATTTATTGTTTTCAATTTCAGATGCCACGGTAAAAGTAAATGTAGTATATACCTTGACGACAACACCCTACTAAACCCTTGCCAACAATATGAAAAATATTTACAACTGAGATGGGGTTGTGCAGGAGGTGTGTAGAACGTACTTCTTAACCATTCATGCAGATAGCTATATATATATATATATATATATATATATATATATATATATATAATTAATCATTTATTACTTTATTTACAATACAAGCCCGTCTGTCGGAAATTTTAAACAATATATTGCTGGTCTAGTATAAAACTAACAATATCATGTTTTAATAGTATATTGAAACAGGATTTAAAGATAAAATGATAATTATCAAATAAATTGAATAATAAACCTGCCATAAATAAATAAACAACAAAAAATATTATTGTAATAATGCAAAATATAAACAAAGAGTAATACAGATTTTTTTACCTCTTGGAGTAGACAACCTTGATCCCCAGCCTTGATAAATAAATAAACAACAAAAAATACTATTGTAATAATAATAAATAGAATAATTCAAATATTCAGTCGCGGTCATACAAATTGTATTACCTATTTATTTTAATTCTAATGTTGATAACGTTGACGTTCATAAGGGCATCGAAGTCGAAAACTTGAATTTTGCATCTCAGTCAAATCCATATAAGAAAAAAAACGTGTGTCAAGAAAGATCAGTATAGCTTCTTTACCGTTTTCATTAGCTAAAATATTAAAATATTACAAGGTACACAATTTTTCGTATGAGAATAAAATCTCTGAGAGAAACTGATTCGGAAATACAGTTACCCTTCAACATTCGCGGGTTTGATATCCACGAATTTCGTTTTTCAGCTAATATTAAAATGCGAAAGAGTGCTGTTATTTGAAGATACCATATTTGATTATCCCTAATTTTTTTTTTTTAAAATGCATACTGAACATGCATTTCACTACTGTTAGTGCATACGGTCGTATGTAAGAACTGATTGTTTTGCAAGAGTGCATAAAAACGCATTATTTCTTTATGCTTTATCAGTATAATTTCATATTTTATTGCCAACTGCTATTTTCATAGTAGGAGATTACTTATATCAGTTACCAGCTACAAAATGTCACATTTAGCACAAATAGAATAAAAGTTGGAAATGTTTACATACGACCTTTTGCACTGATAGTAGTGATATATACTTAATAAGTATGTTTTCACTCGTAAAATGAATGGAACTAGAAAATTTATAGGAGAAATTCAACTTGTTGTTTGTTCGGAGTTAACGTGACTAATACTTTCCTTCAGTCAGAACAAAACGCTTTAAGCTAGAAAATATAAAAATATGGGTGTAAAGTTCACATAACATTGATATTTAAGGAGGAAATCGAGATCAAGGCGAGCTGGTTGAACTTCAATGGAAATAAACCCAATAAAAAATAATACATTGTATTTTTTACAAACTCAGATTATAATTTACTTTAAATGTGTTGAAAATTACACGAAATTTAAGTAACGGCAGTTAGTGCCATGCCAGTAACATTTGGAATCAACCACACAATACAATATCAATAATTTTTTTAATAAAACCTAAAAATTTTTAACCCCATAACAAAATTGTAATAACCTAACTCCCACTACATATGATCAGTGCTTTCAACATTTCGCAGCCATTATATTGTTAATAATTATTTATTTTAATTTTAATTATGAAATTAATAATAAGTAATTTCTTTATTGTTCTCTAAAATTCCTCCAAGTTTGGGTAAAATCGAATGCTTCGTTTTCAAACTATAGGCATATCAAATAACACACTTCCTGATCTAAAAGCGGAAGCATTTTTTTTTGGAATAGTAGATAGAATATGATGAAATTAAAACATATTTTGTTTTTACGTTTACCAATCCTTGAATTCCCTCAAAATTTGAGCCAAATCGAACAAGCGGTTTTAGGGATATAGACGTATAAAATAAAACACGTTTGCGGATATATAAGAGTAAGAAACGGACAGAATTAGATAAAATTGACCCTACATTATTTTTTTACAAATACATATCTTTTATCCAATTTTGAGCCAAATCGAAAAAGCCATTTCTGAAATATTGGCATATCTACAAAATGCGTTTTCGAGTGCGTAAGCGGAAGTGCTGGTTAGAATTTAATAAATTTGATATGGGACCATCTAGACACCAACCCGCACAATTCCTGAACATTTCATGAAAATTGGATGAGCGGTAATAGGTGATATGCCCGTTACATCGATTTGACTACTGACAGACAGACAGACACCAAACCTAATTTGATCCTCGATGTTTGAAACGTAAAACGCGATTGGAAATTTTCGATTCTGAGCACAACATTTTTTCTAACCTCTCGCGCGAATATAATACTTCCCTACCTTCGGTGCTAAACCAACTTACAGAGTTAGACTTTCCAGTCTAAGCATCCTTACCAAAAATAGCTTAAAATTTTCAAGAATGGTTTTTGGCGCAAATCCTTCATAATCCAAATTATAAAAAGCCGAAAAAAAAGTACGAAAATACAGCAGTTAGAGGTTTAAACTAGTTAATGAGGGGAGGGGAGAGAGGTCGAAAACTTGGATTTTGCATCTCTGCCAAATCCCATAAAAGAAAAAAAAAAAAACTTTCTACACCCATTCGATACAGCTTAGACCCCCCTTTTCATGACAAAGTTACTGAGCTATAATATATTGAGAACACGTAGTAGATAAGAGAGAAGAGCGTATTATACAATCCATTAAGATATTTAAGAATCTTTTATTAATGGGAGAAAAATACGAAATATCTTCTAGTGACCAATCTCAAACAATATGCATATTTATGCAAGCAAATTAACTTTGTTAAAGATTAGATTGTATAGTGTCTGAAAAGAAGATCTTAATCTTCTGTGCCTATCGGCGTAGGGATGTGCACAGTTATGAATTCCACTTCTCTATGTTTCTTGCTAAATTCCTGACCTCACAGAGAGGATTGCTTCTCCTCTACAAAGTCTATCGATATATTCCAGTTATGACATTGGGTGTCCTCGAGTTTTTCTGCCATCCGGAACGTAGTCCACCTTCTTCAATGGGTTCCTATGTTGCTCCATCCCAACGACTTGGCCGAACCATTTCAATTGGTGGATTTCTAAAAGTTCCTATAATAGGGTGACCTCAAGTTCCTGTCGTGTCTTCTAGTTACGAACACGGTCTTCAAGGCTGTTTTTCGCAGAAATATTTTTTAGCAGAAATTCATTTTAGCAACAGTGAATCTGCTCTTCTGCATGTCTGTCTATATATCCAGCTTTCAGTCGTGTACAAAAACATTGGCAGGTACTTTCATACTTCTTGTAGCAGGTGAATGTATGAAGTACGCATGCAGGTAAATATACGAAGCTTGACGTCTTTATCTACCTCTCGCTTTGCAAATGTTCCGGTGGTAGAGTGCATTTTAGTGCATCCCCTGAGCAAATAAAAAACTGTACATGGTGTTCTTTACCTGCGGGGTACAGATTTATTACTTACATCATCATTATCATCATCATCATCATCATAATCCATCCTCTTGAACCGCATTAAGCAGTGTGAGGAGGAAGTTTATAGAGCCTTCTCCAGCTCTGCCGGTCTTCAACAAGACGTCCTCTATCGTTCCATTGAAGACTTCTTCTCTGGAAATCGCTCTTTACCTCATCTTCCCGTTTCCTTCTAGGCCGTCCTCTTCCTCTCTTGCCGTCTACTTTAGATCGATAGGTTTCGCTAGCTATTCTGTTTGGTTCCATCCGCAGAAGATGTCCTAGCCATCTCAGTCGGTTCTCCTCAGTCACATCATTGGCCGGCTTAATATTGAGATTCGTCCTGATGGTGGTGTTGCGTACTCTGTCTCTTCTCGTTTTCCCTTCAATCTTTCGTAGGAATTGCATTTCTAACGCTTATATCCCTGATTGATATTTCTTTGTCAGCGTCCATGATTCTGAGGAGTACGTTAAAATGGGAAGAAATGTAGATCTGAAAACAGCTACTTTTCTTTTTTTTTTCCACCTCACGCCTGTTAAAACATCCTGCTCGCAGCAGCGATTCGCTCAGTCCCCTCTGAATCGATGTATCCATTTTCATTAAGGTGTGGCGCCCAAGTATTTGAAGTTTTCTACCTGCTCGAGGATTTTGTTTTCGGCTCTGATGACGCGAATATTTCTCCTAAGCTTCTTCCCAACCCTCATTACTTTCATTTTTACAGGATTGATAATCACATTAATATTCTCCAATTCTTCTTTTAATTTATTAATATTGTACTGAAGATTCCTGTCACTGTCCGAAAAAATAACAACGTCATCAACGAATGCAAGTATTGGGAGGCTCACAGATCTCAGGTTGGCATATCCCAGGTAAAATTTCCTCATTTTTCCTTTAACCCTTCGTATTAATGAGTCCATCACTAGTATAAATAAAAGTGGACTAAGACTACAACCTTGTCGGATTGCAATTGTTGTTTTGATTTCCTGTGAAGTGCAGTTGGCAAATCTTACTATGTTTCTTGTTTTCTTGTAGACACTCTCAACCGCAAGAACATGACCTTGATCAATCCCATTTTTCTCTCAAGGCCTATAAGATTTCAGACTTCCTCACCCGATCACGGAGCTCAACCGAGAGGTCATCGTACACCACATAGCTGCTGTCAAAGTGGGAAACGATGAGAGAGGACACTAGGAGTCCATTTTTTAACTGAGGGGTAGAAGGTGATGGAGTGGTTATTTAGGTATAGTGGAGGAAAGTTGGTTTGGGATCTAAGAAGGGGCTTGGAACCAATGACAATGACATGAATTTTAACAGCATTTAGACTTACTCTGTTTAAGTTTGCCCAGGCACTGATTCGATCTAAATCTTTTTGAATTTTGGCAAATGCTACCAATAACTCAGTGGGGGAAAATGATAGGTAGATTTGAGAATCGTCGGCGCAAAGGTGGGGGAAACAATGAATTGAATCATTTAGATGGTTAATATGAGAGCTGAAAAGAAGATGAGATATGCTTGAACCCTGAGTAACACCAGTAGATAAAGGAAGGTATGTAGATTGTGGTTGATTGGGTATGGAAACTGCTTGGGTTTTGGGAGATTGGGAACAAGAGATGTAACTATTGGAGAA